GCAGGTATTTTTTGGCAAGAACCCCACTAAGTGATATTGTACCCATCTCACTACGTCATATCAGGGGAAACTGAGGCCAGCACGTCTATGTATGTGGAAGATTGACTGTGATCAAATAGTGCATATGCCAGTTTCCCCACTGTGAAGTTACTGTTATTCTTTTGATATCAACATAGTACTCCATTATATGGCCATGCCATTTTTATTCAACCATTCTTACATCCTCAGTCTATTTGGAGATTGTTCTTATGCATGGTATGAGACATGAATCTAATTTCGTCTTTTCCCAAATGCTAACTCTATTGTCCCAACACCATTTATTAAAAAGTCTATATTTGACACAGTAATTTTAGATGCAAACTTTATCCTATGCAATAATACAAGGGAGTTTTCAAACATTTATGGAAATGCATATTATGAAAAAATTATGCATGAATTTCAACCTTTCTGCACAAAATAGAATGTGTACTTTAATTTTACTTTTCTATGAACTTCTGAAGTCCTCTTTTATTTCTTTTTGCATCTGGGTCTATTTATGGGCTTCTATTCTATTCCAACTGGTCTATTTTCTCATGCATGTGTCATATTGTTTTAACCATAGAGACTTTATAGTATGGTTTTTGTTTGTTTTTTATTCATGATAAAGTACATGCACACACATGAGAGGCCCTTCATGAGCCTGGTTGCACCACAATCCCTTTTCTTCAGTCTCTAGTCCTCCTGGCCCCTGGGCATGCGCGCACGCATGCGCACACACTCAGACACACACATGCCATATGTGTTTTCAGGCCAACCAGGCTGGGGGCTTGAACTGTGATTAACATGTGGCTTCCAGCTCCAGAATTCAATATGCTACCAATAGTTCCACACAGGCTGGGTTTATAGTATGTTTTAATATATGTTTATAGTGTGGTATTGCTACTTTCCATCACTGTTTGTTTATCAGCGTTTTCTTTCATATTCTTGCATGTTTGTTATCCGACATGAACTTAAGCATCACTTGTCTAACTCCATAAAAAACTTGTTGATATTTTGGGACCAGTAGATGGCATAATGGTTACATCACTGGACTCCCTCATGGCCGACCATGGTTTGAGTCCCAGACCTAGTGGCTTGAAACTCACACCAGGTACATGTGTGTGCGTACCCAAAATCCTGAGAACAGAATGAAGGAGAAGGGGTTGTGACTTGGCCATCCATCCTGGGGGAGGGGTTGATTTCTTGCTTTCTCTGTCTGTCTGTATCTCTCTCTCTCTCTCTCCCCCCCTCTTTCTCTGTGTGTGTGTGTGTATCTGTGTGTGTCTTGCACACATGTCCTATAGCAAAAATCTCTCTCAAAAACAATTTGTTGATATTTATATCGGGTTTGAAATATATTTATGGATTAATTTAGGAAGAATAGACATCTTTCTTATGTTGAATCATTGTATCCAAGATCACAAAATGTCTTCCCATAAAATTCATTTTCATATAGGTTTTGTACATTTGTTGCCAAATATGTTCCTAAGTATTTCTTCTTTGTTACTATTATAAGTGGAATTCTGTTCTCTGACTGGTTATTGTTCATATAGACTTAATTAATATATATTCATTTTATATCCTACTACCTTTTATGCTTCAGTTTGCTTTATCATTGATTCTCCAGGGTTTTTCAGATATACTATCATATCATACAGAAATAGAGTTTTACCTTTCTTTTATCCATTCTTATGCCCCTAATTGATTTTTCCTGTCTAATCACCTTAGATTGGGGCTAGCAGTGGAGAAGTAGTAAAATTACAAGGATAACCACATGGGTCAGAGACCTCCCTGAGTATTCCAGGCCCATGATCCAGGGCTGGCTGAAGGCTGGGGGTGGAGCACGGCATTAGGATGCTGCTAGGGGTTGACTGTCTCTCTCGCTCATAGAAAAATAAATAAACATTTTAAAATAATTTCATTAGCTAATATCTCTAGCATAATGTTTAACAGTGGTAGCAGAGATAGTGAACATCCTCACCTGCCTCCCGATCTTATTGGAAATGCCTCTAGTATTTACCATATTAAATAAGATAACTAGCTTAGTATCTTAAGTATGAATATTTTACCTTATTAAGAAGGTATCTTATAATTACTATTTTCTTGAGGGTTTTTTTTAATCATGAGTAGATAATGTTAACCACCCTGTTGTTATGAAAACTGATCAAGGGAAAGAATCAAATGTATATATTTATTTTATTTTATCAAAAATAGTCTAGTTGAAAATTACGAGTAGGTGCTATAATCACAAAAGAGGGAAACACCAGACATCACATACCTCCTGATAAAAGTATGCACCACCATCTATGACATAATCTTACTGAGACAGAGAGAAAGACACAGAGATAGAGAGAGATGATGAGGAGACAGAAAAAGAAAAGAGACAGAGAGACAGAGGTAGATAACCTGAATCAAGACTCTAGCTCTGACTACAAATTTTTAAAAAGAATTATTTATTATTAATTATTCCTCTCTCTTATCAGAGAGAGATAAGAGAGAGAAAGGGAAAGTGAGAAAGCAAGCTGCCCGGTTCAGGATTTGAACTACAGCTAGCCATGTGGGAGTCCAGTGCCTTAACCACCATGCCACCCATTAGCCCCCTGACTATCAATTTATAGGAAATACAAGAGACAGAGGAAAATGTCAAATACCACCACAGGGATGCACTCAGTAAAATACAGTCATGAGAACTCTATTAAAAAATAATTTGGGTCAGCTCTGTGATCTAGTGGTTTAGGGAGCCAGATCCCACAGGGCCAATGGTTCTAATCCTAGCTCCAATAACTGGGTGCATGTGTGTGCATGCCCCAAATCTCAAAAGGATGACGAAATAGAGGAGAGGGAATTGTGGCATCAACACATCCCATGGGAGGCGGGCGGGGGGGATTTCTTCCTCTCTCTCCCATCTCTCTCTGATAACTATATACACTATCTAGCAATATTTAAAAAAAAAAAAAGAAGAAGAAGAAAAGAAGAAGGAAAGAAATAACAAAAAGAAAAAGGATATTATTCCTTCAACAAAAAATTGAAAAAAAAAGCAAAATGGAAGAAATGTCTATATATTATTTAAAGAACCTATATAAGGGAACTTCAAAAAGTTCATGGATAAGTGAAATTGAAGTACAAGTTTGTTTTGGTGCAAAAAATGTTGAAATCCGTGCATAGTTTTCATAATATGTATTTTTCATGAACTTACTGAAGACTATATATGTGTATATATGTGTATGTAGAGATACATTTATATAAATCTCTATATGTTTAAAGAAATCTCAAAGACATAGCAACTAAATACCAATACATAGATAGGTCTTATTTGGATCCCAAGTCAAATAAATAGGCTGAAATAAAAACATTATAAAGCAATTGAAATAGGAATATTGAGTGTCTATTTTATTATATTTCAAGTATTGATTTTTAAAGCTATTTTAATATTTTGATTATTTTGTTGAAAGGTAAGTTTGGGGGCTGGTTCTGTGGCCTGGTGTTTAAGATAGCTGGCTCCCACATGGCCAACCATGAGGTCTGAGTCTTGGACCTAGCATGAGAAACACACTGGGCACGAGTGCTTGCTTACTCAAAATCCCAATAAGATGTAAAAATGGAGGAGAAGGGATTGCAGCATGACCATGCCCTACTAGGTGTGTGCATGGGGGGTGGGGGCGTTCTTTCTCTCCTTCCCTCTCTCTGTCTCTCTCTCTCTGGCAAGAGCACTATCTCTCTGGGAAAAAAAAAAAAAAAAAAAAGTCCCGAAGTCAGACAATGGCCCAGTGGCAAAAACACAGCGCCCTGCAAGTTCGACCACACGGGAAGGCTCCATGTACCCATCCAGAGACCTCCCTAAGTCTGCCAGTGTGCGAGAACATCCATGATCTGGGGCTGTCTGAGGCTAGGCGGATTGTGCCAGCGAGACCCCCGTTGGAGATGCTGCTTCTCTGTCTCTCTCACACACATTGATAGAAGAAATAAATAATTAAAATTTAAGAATAAAGAAAGCTTTTAAAAAAAAACAGTAAATACCTATTTTTCTGAGATACATATGAAGCGCTTATAGGTGAACTGATACTATGAGTGGGATCATGGGGAGGGTGGGGGCGGGTAGTACAGTCATCCCTTTGCGTCCCCTGAGGATTGGTTCCAGGACTTCCCATGGATACCAACATCCACAGATGCTCAAGTGCCTTAAATAAAACAGCACAGAATTTGCGTATAACTTACATACATTCCCCCCGTATGCTTTTAATATTCCCTAGATTATATACAATACCTAATCGAATTTAAATCTATATAAACGGTCACAGCATTTTTTTAGGGAATAATGACCCAGAAAAAGTCTGTACATGTTCAGTACAGACACAACCACCATAGGTCTGACTACATGGTACATGTCCGTGATAACAGAATATTGTCCATCCGCAGTTGGTTGAATCTACCGATACAGAACCCATGGACACTAAGAGCCGATTGCATTGATGAAACAAGATTGGATGTGTTTTGATCATTGCTGAGACTGATGATGAGCTCTATCAGTTTGATTATTCTAATTTCATACATGTTTAAAATTACCCATAACAAAAAGTTATTTGTAAAAATTCTGCATTTAGTATATTTAACGTAAAATGAGACCATACACCATGGAATGTGGTGAAGATAGTCAGGCATATCCTCCCGTAAGCAATGCTCATCATTGTCATACCTGAACCCTTAAGAGCTAACGGCCAGGTGGATCCTGAGTGTCAGAGTAAAGGGCAAGTGGCCACGAAGGCTACCCACGAAGGGGCTATCTCCTGCATCTCCTGCAACAGGAACAAAGAGCCTCCAAGGTCGCTATAGAGCAAGCATCCCAACGATCACAGAGGCAGAGAGCAGGACTGACTGACGTTTTCCTGGGAGCCTACCAACAGAAGTCCTACCTTCCTCACCCTTCCAAAAGACACCCTAGTCCTTGGATGTTTGCCTCCCAAAGGGGAAAGGCCCCAACTCACATCATTCTCCGAGGTCCCACAGAGGATGCAGGATTTGCACTCTATGCACTGCCACTTGTAGGTCTTGACAGCTTCAGTCATGTTCAGGGTGAACTGCAGGCAGGTTGGGTGGCCTAGAAGAAGCCAGAAACACCAGTGTTAGAGCCAAAGGATCTGACCTGACACCCCTCAACACTACTAAGCAAGAACACATTGATGCCCCAGGTAGAAGGAAGGTAGGGGTAACACACGGTGGGAAACAAATTGGGGGCCTGGGCAGGAACCACACTCCTTGCCACCATACCAGGCTTGATCAGATTGAGGCTCAAAGAGAGAAATAATCATTAACCTTTTTGCTGGGGATAGATGGCACTCAATTCCTTTGCCCTAAGAACCATGTTCCTGTCATAGGTGAAACCACTTGGTGAGGACAGAAAGTAGTAGTCGGAGAGAATGAGAAAGGAAACTGCAGAGCACACTGGGAGAGACACCAGCATTACTGCCCAGACTCCAGCATTAGCTATGGCAAAAGCAACACCTAAGAACTATTGGGAACCGGGCCTTCAGGCTTGAAAAGTTATCCACACTGCCTTGGGTCACATGGGAAAATATCAGAAGGACTGTGTACGGTTTCCAGGGATAGTACACAGGGAAATCTGAGGCATTGCACTTTTCTCTAGAGCATCCATGCCCACGGCCATGCAACTAGCAACAGTTCATGTCCTGAAGAATAACAGACACTATAGAAGGAAGAGGTCTAGAAGGGAGGGCAAAGCAATGGAGCATCACAGCCAATGGCCAGGTTTACCCTGAAGAACTAGTTGTTGGTTCTAACTCTTTTTTCCATCCCAAGTATCATACTAGCCAAACCAACAGGAAGATTGGAGGGGAGGACATTAAGCTATGGCCACACAGTCCCAGTGGACCAACACCTGAGGCTTGGCCTGCAGAGCTGGATTGGTTAGCAGCTCTAGCTCACCCATAGTGAGATACCAGCAAAAAGAGGATAGCCAGAAGCTATCGACCATGGACAGCCTTGACCTATTTGGTGAGGAAGGGGAACCTCAATGCTGTTCCCAGGTCTCCTACTACTGTGAATCAGATGGGAATCAGCCCAGGGCATGCAAGGAAAAGCCCATCCCTGACTCTGATACAAAAGAATGATGAATTTTGCCTAATGCCAGGAGTTCATCCTTCTCCAGAGCTCCCCTCTGCCAACCCGACTATACGGTTCATACATTTCCTCTTTCACATGAGAGGTTATGTGTCTTAAATAAGGAAACTATAGATAGGGGACATCATAGGGTCAGCCCCCCCAACCCAGTGCTGGATCCCACATGGTATCACCACTCATGGTCAAAGCCTCATCCCAATAGGAGGCCCTCTTTTCTTCCTTTTCAAATCTTCAGAGAGCTACTTACACCATGGTCTTTGGGTAAAATACCATCTTGTCAGTAAACACAGGACCCTTTACATTTTGGGCTCCATAAATACAAACCATACCAACTCCAAGAGAGCAGGAGTGTGGTGGAAATGACTCATTGGTGGAGAATGGGAGACACTTAGCAAATACAGGCAAAAACATTGAGGAGAGGACTGATCTAAAAGTTTTTAAAGAACTTCTCAGGTGCCATCCAACCTGGGGGCTCCCACAGCTTTGAACTGTTGACATCCACCCTCTCAAGGTAACAGCAAGGCAGTGGCACCAAAAAGAACCTCACAATAAAAGCCTGGATGACTATCTAGGTTAAAATCTTGAAAGCATCTCAAAGGGTGTCTAAGAAGAACACTAGCCCACGCTTCTCCCTCTCCCATCTCTCAGATGGCATAGGACAGAAAATAGTTTTCTAGGCGGTCTGAGCCATAGATGCCCAAGTTCTCTGACAGGGCACCACTGAGAAGGATGAAGATGAGGTCACAGAGCGATACCCATATAGGCAAACTGACTTTGCCCAGTTCTGTGGCCTAAGATCCATGCCCCAACCACAACCAGCTAGTTTACAATAACTGCTCATTCGCTTAACAAGCATTTATTGAGCAACTACTAAGATACTTACTGCACTCAACAGAAAAGATAGAGCAGTGAAGAAGAAACCCAAGTCTTTCTAATCTACCCTAGAGACCTCAGTACATGTACGCCTATTTAATTACAACTGTGCAATTGATACCATGAAGAAAATGTATACATTATATTGCTGGAAGCCACGCGGCCAGCTGCTGGTTTGGATCCCTAGTCAAGCCAAAACACACCAGGATCACGTGTACCCAAAATCCTGACTGACTAGAGAGCTGGAGAAAGAGAGCACAATGTGGCGGTGTGATGAGATTTTGTTGCGGGTGTCTGGCTCCATCTTTCTCTCATTCTCTCTCTTCCTCTTTCTCTCATTTTCTCTCTCCTTCTTTCTCTCATAAAAAAAAATAAATAAAGTGGATAAAAATTTAAGAAAAACTAGTAAGTTGTAATAAAAATAAACAAAAGGAGAGCCTAACCTAGTCTGAGAGATCAAGGAACCCTTCCCCGAGAAAGATCTTTAAGCTGACACCTGGCAGGTGAAGAAGAGGCAGCCAGGTGAGAGGGGAAAGGATGCCCAGTAAAGGGGAAGCATGTGAGGAGACTTTGAGCACTGAAGACGAGAAGGCCAGTGAGCAGAGGCTCGGTGAGCGAAAGGCAGAGATGAAAGGTAAAAGTGGCCGAAGAGGTAGCCAGAGCCAGGTCACACAGGCACTTGCATCCCTTATTTAAGGATTTGGGTTTTAAAGTCATTAAAGGATTTTAAGCAAGACAGTGACTGGATCACGCTGTGTTTTAAATATATTCTTTAGCATGAGGGAACTTTGGGGTGAAGAAGCAATTCTGCATCTTGATCATGGTGGTGGTTAAATATGTAATGATTGCATACAACTATACACATACTATACACATACACACCTAAATACACATGTGTGTTGCCTATGTAAAGCCAATAAAATCCAATTGTATCAGTGTAATTGCTTGAACATAATGCTGTACTTCAGTTATGTAAGATGTTCTTATTGGAGGAAACTGGGTGAAGGGCCACATGGGACCTCTGTGACATATTTTGTGATTTCCTAAGAAGCTATAATCAATTTTGAAGCAAATAGATGAAAGATCTTTTTAAAAATTTGATTTGTTGCTTTCTTCCTTCCTTTCTCTCTTTCTTTCTTTCGTTTGCTACAGGGCATGTGCACTTGCTAGAGACAGAGAGAAAGTGAAATAGCTCCCCCCACCCCCAGAGGAAATGGTCACTCCTTCACTCCCTTATCAGGATTCTAGGCATGCATCCACATAGGCTGAACATGATTTTTAAGCCACCAGGTCTGGGACTTGAACCACGAAGTCAGTCATGTGGGATCCAGCTTCCAAACCACCATGCCATTAGCTTGCCCAATAGCTCCAGTTTTCTTAGAGCAAGAAATAGCTATACTGCTATTTAGATAGCCCAGTGTAGTGAGGGGGAAACAAACCTTCCCAGCTCTTTCTGGGTACAATGATTCAAAAGGACATTTATGACATTTTAGTTACCGAAATGAACTTAGAAAGTGGTGCAATGTGCATAATTCATCCCAGGTGGATCATTAAAAGCCAATACTCCCTGAGTATTCCTCCAAATTTGTTCTATCAAAGTGTTTAGCAAATGTCCTGCCTACCTGTTTAGTTGGTCCAATAATGAACTTAGTGTGAAGAGGCATTCCCAATTCAGTCTCAATCCTTTCCCAAACTCCTCCTTAGGAATTGAAACATGAAATGTCACCCATGCCCACCATGGTTGGGAGATCTCACTCTTGAATTGGGCTTTCATATAATAAGGGTTTGGCTTCAAAGTACTATTTTGGCAGATGAGGAAGAAAAGGGAAACAAGTCAAAAGTGGGAAACTTCCCAGACAAGAGAAGTTAGTCCCTGAAGCTGGGAGGACCTAAAGTTTATGACACTAGTCTAATGAACTCAGTAAAAGAGAGGAGGCAGGCATCTGGAAGCAATGACTGCTGCCTCACCCCTCAAAGGACATATCTCAAGTCTTTGCAGAACACATGGGCACAGGGACAGCAAAAGGGATTTGGTGGTATTAAAGTGAGAAAGCACACAGATAAACATCCTGGAAAACCAGTGGTAATGTCAAATTCACAGCTGCCTACTTCAAAGCATGTTCATCCACAACTGCCCTCCCCCAGATATTTCCAACCTTTTAGGAAAGAAAAATCTTTAATATACCTTGCTGATTACACTCACATTAGGACTGTGAGTTAGAAGCCAACCATAAGTCATTAACCAGTCAATCTCACTCTGTGGCTAGCATTGTCAGAGAAACACAGTTCATTTTCCACAAACTCCAGGCAAAAAGAAATATGCAAACTGCTATGACATGTGTCTTTTACATTATGATCCTTTTTAAAAGATTTTTTTTTTATTTCATTATTGCCAATATTTAATTTGGGCTAGGCTAAGCCATATCACTGATAAAATTAGAGCTCCAGGAAAAAAAAAAAAAAGACGATCTTGTCAGGTATGTGCTGAAAACGTAAATTAAACAAATACAAATAACTGTGAAACTAGCATGGTCTATTACTTATTCATTGTGAAATTATAAAGTATTATCAATACTGATCTCTCAAAAGCAAATTTTTCAGGGAAGGAAAACTTAAATATCCATGGATCTCAGGCAAGTAATTACAAAACTCAAATTGTACTCCTTGGTCAGATGCTTGGTTTATAGAAATTGTGTTAAATAAAATACATAGATGAATTCCTACCTGAAAGAGCACCCAAAACAAGTCTCCATGGGCATTCATTAGGAAATAATTTGGCTCAAATTTCTAACAGTTCTCTATAATCAGACGCACATAGGATTTCTAATATTTATATATTACAAATATATATATGAAGCTTTAGCTAAACCATTTATACAAAGTATAGTCAAATTTGAATCATTATATTAAAGAGTAATTTGAGAACAAATATTATTACTAGCTCACTTTGGAAAGCAACTTCATTTCAATCAGGTCCATTCATCCATCTCTCCTCTCCCCTCCCCTCCCCTACTCTCCCCTCC